ATGTTACAATCCTTTTCATATCATTGGCTATGTTTGTCAGAAAAAAATCTAGAAAACTCCTTTTTCACTTAAAAATATACCCTTTTACACCAAGATGCGCAGAAAAATATCGATCTCTCCTGGAACAGAGTATATATAAATAATTATATGCAATTTTAAACATTATTTGCATGAAACTATTCAAAAGCGAGATATTATGCGATTTTGGAGAAAAAATCAATTTTCTCAAAAAGGGACCGATGGATGATTTTCATTTTTGTTGCAAACAGCTTCTTTTTTGTTGTAGAATACATCCCAAAAGAAAAATCTTGGTTATTTTGACTTTTCATAATAATCGCTTAAAACCCACCGTGTACATTTGACGCATCAATAATATATTCCTTTAACAAATCAGTGTTTAAAAATATTTATTTATTAGCTGTAATCGATCTGTAATATTACGAATCATTGTTTGGTTTTTCAAAAAATGGCTAAAACGCATTTTCATGACATATTAATCCCGTTCTTCACAAAATGGTGACATAATAAAATTGTTTTGCTCATACATTCGTAATCTATCTGAAAAAATTCTATAAGAATTACCGTCTTGTGACAAAATATTGATAACCAATGATAGTAATTGGTTTACTGGTTCACCCCAAGTGAAACATATTTATATTTATTTTTGCACAATTTGGAAGTTACTTAACTTTTAATAACATGACAGAAAGAACGTCTCTCTGTGGAGCTTTTTAGAAGTTATGTAAGTACTGTACAAAAACTACATAGTTCATTTTTTAAAATCGTCATAACAGTTCTGGGGTTCAACTTGTGGTGAACGATTTTAACTACATAGGCATCCAGTGATTTATCGATGATTGCGCAGTTTAAAACATATCACCAGGAGCACCTCTATTGGAATTTAACTCAACCGCACTGAAAGCGCCAGATCTATCAATTTATTTGTTAAAAATAAATACGTTTAATTTTACTTTTAATTTATTAGTAAACAATTTGTCTATATGTTGCTAAAAATTCACAATATGTACTACTGTAATGAAACCGTTGATTATTATTTACTTTAAAAGTAAAAAAACAGCTGCTAAGTTACAATAGCTACTAATGATTTTACGTATTAATCGTAAAGCGTATTAATCCTGCCAAATACTAAATATTAAATCTAACTTAATTCTTAAAAAATTGTTTTGGACTGGTATTTAGCTAATTTTATTAAAATTGTTTAATTATATTATTATATTTATATATAGCTGAGGCTCCCAAACGTTAATTTCACGGAAAACGATTTTAAAGTTAACATTACGAAACATTCATCTTGCAGGGTGACTTGGGCCTATAGATACATTTTCCAAAATCCACAATAATAGACCGGCTGATTGAGGCTGGAGTTCCTGTGTCAAAGTTTCACGCTTTTGAAATGTGTCATTAAAAGTATTGAAAGTATTTAGTGCAAATTTCAAATAAAGGAAATACGCTAAAGTTTAACAAGTCTGGCATCAACGCTCGCAAAACCCAATTTTCAAAAATCACTACAATGCACTGATGACGAACAAGTCCACGTGTATCAGAATGACTGGAAATTTTCTGAAATGATTCTCCCGATTGTTCATACCAATTTCACGATATATTGCCGAAAGTTTTGTGCTCATATTTAAGAAATCTGGCTACACTAAAATTAAATGATCTACCACAGCAATTTTTAAAGACGCGTGTTGAACAACAAGACTAAGAGAATGATCTACGCACGGAAGATATTTCGAATAAGGATTTTTTTCTTCTAATATACTTTAAAAAGAAAATAATTGTAAGGACCAGTCATTACCGTGGCATTGACAGTTGATAAACCAGCATATTTTTTTAAGAAATTTGATTTTTACTTAAAGCTTTTCCAAAAGAGCGAAAATAAGTGAAAACAGCCAATTGCAAAATTTTTGTCTCCGATTTTTAAGTTATTTACATTCTTTAATAGGTATATGCATATACTTTTACCCCCTAAAATATTTTTCATAAATATTATTTATTTTGGAAATGAGGGGGGGGGTGAAAGTTGTGGGTAACGAAATTTTCTATTTGCTATTACTCGGAAACGAATAAAGATAATTGTGTGAACTTTGTTTTAAATTAAAGATTAAAGTCTATATTTTCATGTCTAATCAAAGTGCTTGTTGTAAAATTAAAATTTTCAATTGTTATTAACATTTTTTTTTAAACAATTGCAATTTAGAATGTGTTCTCAATGTCAGACAAAAATAAGACTAGGCTGATTTGATGCGCAAAACTCTAACGAGTAAATTAAAAAAAAGAAAAATGAGTAACCTCCAATATTTAAAAAGTTATGAATAATTTTCTGACGCCGCGCAGGCAGCGGCGAACTCGTTGACTCGCTGACGCGCGAGATTAGCTCGCCGCTCGCACTTCCAAATAATTGACTATTTTTATAAGTATTTATATATTTGTGACACATCATCCCCCACCCCCCAAACTTATATATTTAATTTATAATTTTTAATTTATATATTATATATTTAATTTATATATTCAATATATATAAATCTAAGAATTTTCAAATCTTGGGAAATAGTCAATGGAAATCATACAGATATTGTCTTGACAAGCTTGACAGATATGTATGAAGTTGGTAACAAAAAATTAAGCTTTAGTCTTTTGTTTTTATTAATTCGATTTATAGTCTGCTAAAGTTGTATACGTTTCTTATCGAGAGTTTCAAAAAATGTATATAAAATACATATAAGAATACATATAACATATAAGAAGAGTTTTACACGACTTGCAAACAAAAAGTCCTTGAAGAACTCGAAATCTTGAATCCCAATTCTTTGTCACTTTACAAACACCAGATTTAGAAAAATGTTTTTCAAAACCGAACGGATTACAACAAGTATTTGCACGAGGCATTTTTAAATTGCAAAATTAAAAACTTTTCACATTTATTATTATATTTTTATATACATTTTTTGAAACTCTCGATAAGAAACGTATACAATCATTTGGAAGTGCGAGCGGCAAGCTAATCTCGCGCGTCAGCGAGTCAACGAGTTCGCCGCTGCCTGCGCGGCGTCAGAAAAATATTCATAACTTTTTAAATATTGGAGGTTACTCATTTTTCTTTTTTTTAATTTACTCGTTAGAGTTTTGCGCATCAAATCAGCCTAGTCTTATTTTTGTCTGACATTGAGAACACATTCTAAATTGCTATTGTTTAAAAAAAAATGTTAATAACAATTGAAAATTTTAATTTTACAACAAGCACTTTGATTAGACATGAAAATATAGACTTTAATCTTTAATTTAAAACAAAGTTCACTCAATTATTTTTATTCGTTTCCGAGTAATAGCAAATAGAAAATTTCATTACCCACAACTTTCACCCCCCCCCCTCATTTCCAAAATAAATAATATTTATGAAAAAATATTTTAGGGGGTAAAAGTATATGGGTGATTCTCTCAAAAAGAACTAATTATTTGTGCACAAGTTTTGGACGAGGTTTTTGTTAAAAAATAATAACATTAATTTCAATTAATAAACATTCTCCCAGCCATACGATAAAATTCAACAAATTTTTTGGGATAACTAAAGAAAATTTCAAAAAAATGGCAAACAACTGAATTATTGAATGAAAACTAGTGTTAAAACTCCATTCCGTAACATCAGTTTTTATTCAATATTTCAGTTATTTTACCTTTTTTTAAAATTTTCTTTAGTGGTCCGATTGAAAATTGTTAAATCCTAACGTATGGCTGACAGAATTTTAAACATTTTCAATTAATTTTCATATTTTTTAACAAAATATCTTAAAAGCGTAATTTGTTCTTTTTGAGAGAATCACCCATATGCATATACCTATTAAAAAATGTAAATAACTTAAAAATCGGAGACAAAAATTTTGCAATTAGATGTTTTCACTTATTTTCACTCAAAAGTTTTCAGCAACGCTATACAAAGGTTCTGGCACTTAATTTTTTGTCCAAAAGTGATCTCTGATGTTTGAATATTAAGAAAATTTTTTTTGTAATCCTGTATCGAGCTATTTTAATATGAGCACAAAATTTTGAAAACTAAATCTATTTTGAATAAAATTTATTTACTTGCAGAAAGTCAATATTTTAACAAAGAAGAACAACTGTGCGTGTGAATATGTATAAACTCTTATGTAACATATTATTCATCATATGATGAATAATATGTTATAATATGTTAATATGAATAACACACACTTCTTCTTTGTTAAAATATTGTTGTCAAAACATTTCTCCTAAAAGAAATTATTTCTAAAATAAATTCCTATACTATCTGCTATATAAATGTTCTAAATAGAAAAAATAAAGCGTGACAAGGTGGTATACAAAAAATTACAATTTGTTTTATTTTTGAAGATTTAAACCGTCTTATAGTAATCAAAAAAGCAGAGGTCGCACAATTTCCGATGGTAGTATACATCCTTGGATTAGTTTTTTTAAATCTCATTGACCCTCTACAAGAAAATAAATTTTATTCAAAATAGATTTAATTTTCAAAATTTTGCGCGCATATTAAAATAGCTCGATACAAGATTTAAAAAAAAAATTTTCTCAATATTCAAACATCAGAGAACACTTTTGCACAAAAAATCAGAAGTGCCAGAACCTGCGGCTTAAATCGAGTTCAAACTACCCGTGGCTAAAGAATAACAATCAGTTACATCAAAATTAATCTGCTGCAAGAATTCTACTCTGATTTCAAATGTCCTTGGTTCCACATACCGAAATAATATCGGTAACCACTTTTTGACTTATACTACCTTCATCTACGTAAACTGAAAGAGGTTGCTTTTGTAAAACGTCGGTAATACGTTTTTTCAAACACATAAAGAACATTATTCGCGATTCAAGTCATTTTTGTGCGCCCCAATTTAATAGCTTTTAAAACGATAGGATCTAAATTTTGAAAAAATTTTACCAACTCTGACGACAAACTGAATGGAATATTATTTTTCACAAATATGTCTGTTATTTTAATTTTTATTTCTTTGACTTTCGAATCAAAAGATAAACGTGAATTAGAAGAATTTAAATTTTAAGTATTTTAAAAAAAATTACATCATTTTCTATCGAATCTACATTACTTCAATCAATTGCTGCAACTTTCTGACAATCTACAGAATGGGTGGTTGGAGAAGCTTCTTTTTTTCAGATAAGTATATTCCAAAAGACTAAAATTATTTTTATGAACCAAAGTAGATTCATGTCGCTGAATATGTGATTTTCCAGAAGTACAAATTTTACCGCAAACTCTACATTCAAATTTTGTATGATCATTTTCTACTCTAATATCTAATATCGAGGCAAATATAATATTAGTACATACATACGGACATTTTTTTTAAGCATAATTTTTGGATTTCTGTAGCAGTATTTTTGAATATCATCACTGAAAAAAATATCGTCAAAAAGTGGTCAAAAATAAGACTCGAATTTTTTTCATGAAAACAATACTTCCTCTATGCGGAAGCAATAATTAATTTCAAAACTGATATTCAAAATATAATTATTATATAAAATATAATTAATTAACCTAAATTATTATAATTTTTCTAAAACATTTTATCAAAATTTTAATGATTCATACATTGTACTATAAATTTTTGTTTAAGTATAATAATTAATTAATTCAAACGATGTTTTTAAGAATTTTTCAACTAGATGTCGAACATAAATAATTTAATTATTCAGATATAATTGGAAAATTTAACGTGGGAGCACCAGGATGAACAATCTTTTCCATTCTAGCTATACTTAATTTAGCTTCTTTAATTATATTAACATCTGTATCCATTAAAGCCATGTCAAATATTTCTGTTGCAAATTGTGTTGGTGGTGGAAGCAATGGATGAAAATTCATTTGTAGAGCTTCCATAGTTTTTAAAAGTTGTAAACGAAAATGCCCCTTTAATTTAATGCCATTAGCTATTGAAGATTGCAAATACAAATCTTGTAAAGTACCTAAAACTTCGTTTTTAATTGGCTGTAAAAAAATCATTAATAAATTAATATAAACGGGAAAAATATACTTATTTAAAAAAAATGGTTAATAAATGAAATTTACTTTATTTTGAATCATACATTCACATCTATAAGGAAGTTTATTCAGTAGTTTAGAAAATTATTTAAAGTTTAAGTCTAACAAAAATACTTTTGTAACACATACTAAAAAGTAAGGATAAAATTCAAAGATTGGTCAATTTAATAATATTTTGCTAATCAGTTACTTTTTTAAACAAAAATGTTGTTTGTGTAATTATAGTTTTTCAACTTAAACTAATTACATAAACAATCAGGAAATAAATACCTCATAAGAAGAAGAATTCAGCCAGCAATTAGCGTTTAACAGTATGTTTTGTAATGACAAAAGAGCCTCTTCGCATACATATGTATTTAATTGGAAATGTCCTTGATTAGAAGTTTGGAAAGATTTGTTTTCATGCCGATTGTCTCTAAAACACTTTATAACAATTTTAGAATTGTAGTCTGTAGGTACAGGTTCAAATTGAGAATGATTGGTACCCCATTCCCCCAATTGAAATTAAATTAATATTTCAACTTACAGATACTGCTAAATCACATTTTGATAAACTTTTAAGATCCTTTATAATAAGAGGAAGAAAACATTTTGTGAACGTTTCAATTACTGTAACTGATCCTGTATATGTTAACCATGTATTAAGTGCTTTATAAGCAAACAATCTTACATTTTTAAATGATTCAATTTGATTAAATGTTATCTGTTCATTTGATATTTTCTCGGTCCATTCAAAAGTTTGTTGTATAAGTTTCAAAATTGAGTTCGTAAAAGGTATTAACTCATGTCTGAATCTGAAAATTGAAAAAACTGTAAATATTTAAATAAAATAAACAAACACAATAAGAATAAATATGTAGACGTAATATGTTATCATAACTCTCACTGTTCATTCTCACAAAAAATGAAATAACCGTGTCATTAATCACACTCTTTCAAATCATGCTAACACTCTTCACATTATATTTTTTGCTTAACTAGACACACCCCAAAATCTCTTAATGGTAGAACTTTGGTATATTAATAGTGAAGTTGAGATCCCCACCGCAAAGGGCGCATATATAGACATGAGGTTATACAGGGTGAAATGCGAATAAACATAATAGCCAGTAAGATTCCGTGTTTGTTCGTTGGTGAGAGTTAAATTTCTGATAAATCTGTGTGAGGGGAATTTTTCTCGCGTGTTTAATAATTTAATAATTATTTTAATTATGTTGGATATGATGATTGTCAGTCAAAAGGTCGAAATCGACAGTTTTTTTTGTGTGTACAGTATCCATAAAAAGTGTATAAGTAATGAAATATATAAGTTTATACTTTCATACATTCATAATAAATGAAAATACTAGGCCAATTTTTTACCACATATTGTCAATTTATTAAGGAAATAAAAAATACAATTTTAATGTTCCTTAACAATCATTAATCCCATTTATATATTCTTTTACTGGATTATCTTAAAGAAAATGGCGTGATTGTCCCATCCTTTCCGTCTCACTGTTCACATAAACTATAACCTTTAAATCGATCAGTATATGAGCCATTCAAAAAGTATTTAAACTCAGCTGGTGATTTTTGGATAAATAATAATCACCCAGGAAAAACAATGTCAATTTATGATGTACCGAAATTAGTTTAAAGAGCGCTACCTCTGGCTATAACTCCTTCAAATATAACTGCTGGGTTTCGAATTTCAGGAATATACCCATTTAACAGATATTTTCCGGGATAAAGAATTTTTGTCGTCGTATTCAACAGATAGACCAGAAAACCGAAAGATACAACAACTGAAGGAATTTTACCCGGTTCTTTGCACACTTCTATTGAGGCTGAAAATGATTCAGATGTTTCGGAAAAATTGTCTATTAACACTTTTGAAATTAAAACCTTTACCAAGAGCAGATCAAAGGAAAGATCCATATGCAAGATCTAGAAAACATCGTCATACGGAAATTATGATTGACTCTCCACTTAAAAGGAAAAAGCTTTAAAGGGAGAGCAAGTAAAAAAAGAAAATTTTAAAGAGAAAAAAAGAAAAGCTAAGGCAAAAAACGCAAAAAATAAAATTAAAAAAACCATTCACATAAGAAAAAAGCCAAAAGTGACAAAGAAGTCTAAGAGCTTAAAGAAGAATTTAGGTGATGACTTTGATGACTGTGAATGTCTATACTGCTTTGAATCATTTAAAAATAGCGTTGCAGGAAAAAAATTTATTTAGTGCAAAACATGACATCTTTGGGCTCATGTGTCGTGTACAGACCAAGATACATTTTTTATTTGTGACGATTGTAAAAAAGAGTAATTTTGTCTCAGAGAATGGTTTATCTATCAAAAAATATCTTAAAAAGTTTAAATCAAAAGTTAAAATTTTATTGATTTAAAATTATTAAAAAGATCATTCATCTGTTTAAAAATAAAGTAATATTTTATGTTATTATAAAATTGTTATATATGTAACGATGTTCTGGCAGTTTTCCGCGTAAGGATTTCCAAGGAGAAGGATAGAGCGATAGGGATGACCAGAAAGGAAGAGAGCGCGCCCCTCTTATACGGATCTAGGGGAAGTTGGCGATCAATAGGCAGTCGATTTTGCATCGTTTACCAGAGAAGACTCTGTCTCGAGAATTTATATTATTATTGCATTTCATATTTAATTCATTTAAAGTATATTGTTGGAGTTATTATTAAAATAAATCTCTATATTTGTAAACATAAACATACTTATTCCTATATTGTTGCGTTTCTATAGAAAATAGTTTTTACGTACAATTCGTTTTTTAAAAGTGCAATAATTAAATAATTATTAATTAATAAATCCAATTGTACGTAAAAACTATTTTCTATAGAAACGCAACAATATAGGAATAGCTATGTTTATGTTTACAAATAGAGGACGGACATCAAAAACTTTAAAATAATGAATATTGAGTTTGAAACATTAATAAAATATGATGCATACAAAAAATAAAAATTATAATTTTTAAAAATTGTTTAAAAATGTATATTCAAAAACATTAAAATAATTTTTTAAAAACTAAAAGTCTTTACAACAACTAAATATCCAGGATATAAAGCATCACGCCACTATTACTATGCTCACGGCCGGCCTAGCGCTGCGTACCAAAAAGTATAACTGTTATAAATTCTAAATGTTTAATCAAATTAGTTTAAAACCTTTTGGAAAAACTTTCTGGAACTATTATAAACAATTCTTCCGCTGGAAGTTTTTCCAATTCGAAAGTTCGTCACAGACTTTTTTCATTTGAAAATATTAAATAATTTTTTTTTGTCTCTAACATAAATAAATTAATAAAAATGTTAGTTATTATTTTAATTTATTTATTGTTCATCTAACACTTTTTGGACACTTTGATGAGTAAATCCTCCGAATTTGAAGTCAAAAAAACTTCGGATTTATGACGAGTTGAACATAAAATTGAATGAAATATTACGGTATAAAAAAATCAAGTTTTTTGAAATTATTTTGAAAACAATTCACTTTAAGAAAAAACTTTATTGAGAAAAAAGTTGCGTAATTTTATTCTCTACAAGAATAATTATAATATTTAAAAATCAAAATTAAAAAAAAAAATTTTTTCATGTCAGGGACCAACTTAAAGCCCTGAATTTCACGCGTATGCCCTTCTACGACTTGGCGGTTCAATTAGACTCGCTATATTTTTCCTGTCATCTACACGTGAAAACATGTATGGGAGCGTTCAAAAATTACGTAACATTTTTTGGGGGAGGGGGGGGGTCAAGCACTTTGTTACGGACAGCAGAAAAAATGGCGCTAATGTATGCAATAACGTGTCACATGGAGAGGGGGGGGGGGTCAAAATAAAAAAAAAAACGTTGCGTAATTTGTGAACGCTCCCTATGGGTACTGAATTTTTGCTCATCAGATTAACAAATGTAGAAGTTAAGAGGAGGGACAGGGTCATTTTTTGCAACATTTTCGATAAAAACCGGTTTCTTTCACAAGAAACTTTTCATAAGGGTACACCGAAGGTGTACGGAACCCTAAAATTAACAAAAAATCTTCTAAAAAATCGTTTTTTAGGTTTATTGTCTAGAATAAATCTTTATGAAGAGATTCCCTTTTGAATTTATTATATTACTGGTTGTCTGGATGTTTTTTGAACAATATTAACACATCAGATTTTAACAAAATTTATGAGCTTGAAAATCTTGTTAAGAATAGCACAACTAAAAAAGAAACAATAATAACAGACTTCTTTCATAAAGCTTAAACCAATAAAAAAATTTGTACATTTGTTAAATAAATAATTAAATGGAATTTCTTAGTACGTAAAAGTGAAACTTTAATTAAGAAACCCTTTTTAAATCATTATCATGATTCAATACATGAAATTGTAGCTTAAGATGTCTAGTTTCATTAGCCGTTTTTGAAAATATAAATATGGACGATAAATATGGCGCCTGGAATAAAAAAAATGCAAATAATAAAAATATAATTGTTGTTTTTGAAGCTTCAAAAATTATTTGAATTATTCAGACAAGCCATATTAAGGGCTTCTAGGGGGTTACTGACTACGAATATGATGAATCTGAAGTTAATTTTCAAAAATTCAAAATGGCGTACAATTTTCTAAAACTTTATCAGATTTGTCTGAAACTTTTTACTCGGGAGTTTTTGGAGTCACTGTTTACGAATTTGAAGTTGGTTTTTAAAAATTCAAAATGACCTACCCAATATAGTAATTATAATTTTTTAAAAATGTAAGTTTGTTATTAATTTTATTATTTGGGTGTTTTTAGATATGCCTTTTAAAAACAAATTTCAGTTTCATAATAAGAGATAGTTTTAGGCAAATCTAGTGTTTCACTCGAGCAATCCGAACCTAGAAACGATTTAAAAAACCATATTGTTTTTATTTTGACAGTTTAGCAGTCATGGGTGAAAATTTCCCAACTGGGCGACCTAAAACTGAGTTTTCAAATTTAAATAATTTTTTTTCATAATCTATTGCAGGAAGCCGAATTAAAAACATTCCTGAAATACGTTTTTAAAAAAAATTTATTATTTAATTATTTATTAACAATTAAATATTTTAATACCTTTCCAATAAATTTGCAATTACTCTGTTGCTTGTTAATGAAATTTAATCAAATTTGGTGAGTATATAGGAAAATGATGTCTCTTTGGAATGCAATAGAAATTCCAATTAACCTTTATTGTTTATACAAAAAAAATTGTTTATTTAATAATCAAATGAATATTTAAACTATTTCTAATATGTTTAGGAAAAAATTTCAAAAACGACATAAATCTACACTTTCTCAACTTTAATTAAAAAAAATCTTAGTACCTTTAAAAAATGAGTGAATTACCATTATTTCAACTCAACTCTAACGCTATGCGCTAAACTATCTCAACTCAAAGGCGCCTTTTTATAATGTCTCAACTCTTGGCATTGCTTATAAACTGTATCAACTCATTTTTTTGTAATATTTTGTTTCGTATTTTCAGATAGATATTTTTATAATTAAAAAATTTAATAATAATATTATTAAATTTTGTCGCTTTAAAATTTTTACAGAATGAGCATTATAAAAATATGTATCTGAAAATACGAAAATCAAAATATTACAAAAAAATGAGTTGATACAATTTATAAGCAATGCCAAGAGTTGAGACATTATAAAAAGGCGCGTTTGAGTTGAGATAGTTTAGCGCATAGCGTTAGAGTTGAGTTGAAATAATGGTGCTCTGACGAGTTAGTACAGAATAACGTGAGGTCTTCGAATTGAGCTAGTATTATAAATCGAGCTCGAGATGTGATAGAATAAAAACTTGAGGGCGAGTTAGTATGAAGTAGCTCGGGACCATCGAAGTAATCATGTGTCATGCGTGCCAAATTGGGAAACAAATTTTCATGGATTTTCCACCATAAAAGAATATTAGTTTTTTCGTCAACGCGATCCGCAGTTAAATACTCCTCAATTTCTCTCTTCTATTTTTCTTCAGGTTTACTCTGCTTTCGAAACTTCTTTTGCTTCTTTTTGTGTCTTCTTTCCTGAATAACTGAAACAAATCAATTTCATCCTCATAATCATCACTTGCATTCTTTTCTTCCGACTGCTCTGGAGGTTGAGTAATATTCAATTCTTCAGTTTCAGGCTCAACATAATAATGTTTGCGGTAAATTTCTTCTAACTTTTGCATAGACTGAGCTTCCATACTTTTCCACCATTCTGTTCTATTGAAAACTTCAGTTTTTTGCCTTGGATCAAGGAATAAAATCGCGCAATATACCCAATTGCATTTATTGTAATGTTTCAACATTTTTTCTTTGGCAGCAAGGAGAGCATTCTTTATTTTCAGGTCATTTAAATTTATATTTCGATGAATTTTGTTTTCTAATTCTGCAATTGAATCGTCTATTTTTATCGAGAAGTAAATTGAAAGCAACTATAACTAAAGGAAACATTACATATTTTTCCCCAGATAGTGTTTGTGTGATATACTTGAAATGCCGTAGATGATGATGAGCTGACCCTAAAAGGTACCAATCATTTTCATTTAAAGAATATTTTTGTAAATCTAAATTGGAACTGCATAAAAGATCAATAGCTTTTTTCATTTTCAAACCCTTGGTTATCATAGAAACAGTGGAGTTCAACCAAGTCTTGACGTCTATTGTTGGTGAAAGCATTTTCGTATTCGTCGTTACACAACATTCAAGTTTGTGCTGTAATTGTTCACTATATTTGAGTTTTATAAACAATTTTTTCAGTCTTCCGATAGGTGATGGTATTTCGTTATTTTCAGGTTCTGCATATTCTTCAAGGTCTTCCTCCTCAATTTCATAATCTAACAGAAGTTCATTTTCTTTTTCCAGATTTAATTCCTTCAAAAAATCTTGTACTGCTAAATTTTCTACATGAGCGATGCATTTGAACTGTTGTTCTTGAGGATTAAAATCAATATAATCTTGGACCATTAACTTTTTAAATTCAAAAATAAACTTCGTATTAGAAGCAGCATTGTCCATTGTGATTCCATTAACCTTATTTTGGAGTTTATATTCTTTCAAGAAATTTGCAAAAATTTGTGCGATATCCTTTCCACTGTAGCCACCTTTAGCTGGTATGAAATCTAATGTCACGGATTGTAACACCCAATCGTTGTCGATATAGTGACCTATTTATAAATTTTCTATTACACTTTTTTTATTCTTATTCATTAAATATTTATTTGAAAAAATTAAATTTATATATTAATTTAAATTAAATTTTATTAATTTATTATTAGAATATTATTTTTTAATTTAATTAACTTTTATTATACATTTTTAATATTGTTATTAAAATTTTTAATTTTTTTTAATTCAGTTGATTAGAAATGAATACTTTAAAATTAATTTTGAAAATTTAATCATTTTCTAATAATTTAATTAATTAAAGTTATTTATTATTCTTATTTATTTTATAGGGATTATTAAATAAAAAAATGAATAAATTAACAAGTGATAAATTAACATATTTTCAAACGTTTCAGTAATCATTGATCATAGGCCATTTTTTTGAGGAATCTTCAAATCTCCTTTGATATAAGTAAAAAATTCTCTTGTTATTTCGTCATCGAAAAAACTGATTGGTAAATATTTGTTGGCAGTAAATTCCACTAACATTCGGTTGAAGACAGTTTAATCAAAATTCTGATTTAATTTAAATATTTAATATTATACTTTTATAATTATAAGTATAAATATATTGCTGCTAATTTAATGGATATTGTATAAATAAAATAATCACTTATTTTTTAATGAATTTAATTGTAAATAAATCAAAAATAAGAATAACAAAAGGAAAAAATATATGAAATTTTTTTTCATTAATAATAATAAATAATTACCCCTAAAGATAGTGAAGAATTAGAGCAAGACTGTGCTTTCATGTATTCTTCGTTGTGGAATTTTTTTAAATGGCGCGTAGTTCCAGAGGTGTTACCGTCTTTCATTTTTATGATGATATTTTTTTGTAAAATTGCGCAAGATTTACATTTTGCAATTTTTTCAATAGACTCATCGCGTGAGTACTCGAAAATTGAGTCAAAAACTTCCTTCTTTATTTTTTTAGCACTGGACCTTGAAAATATTTCTTCAATTTCCTCTTACGCTTTTGTAACCTCCATTAAATCAAAAATATTTTATAATTATAATTATGCATTATTTTAATGACAATCTGAAATTAAAATAAACAAGGAGGGGGTCCTTTATGTTTATTTCATAAACATTATGCTTCCTCATTGTGTGAAGCAAAAAATTCGCTTCCTCGTGAAGGAAGCAATGAATTTGTCCAATTCAATTGATTGATTTAAAAAATTTCGAGTTAAAAATGTTTTAAATTAATTAAATTTTTTGAAAACTAAAGAAAATTTTAATTAATTTTGAGTGTAACATAAACTTTATATATACGAATCGATTCGTTTTAATGCAAGGAATACAATTATTTTATTCATCAACTTGAATTTAAAAAAAACACAAAATTTTTTAGCTAAAATATGAATTTTCAATTTTTCAATTTTTATTAATTCTCAAATTTTAAATCAAATCTATACTTTATATATACCAACCAATTCGTTTCAATGCAGGGAATAAAATTATTTCATATATAAACATGAATTTAAATAAACACATCATTTTTTGGCTAAAATGAGAATTTTTCAATTAAATCTATACTTTATATATATCAATCAATTCATCTTGACATAAAGAAGACGATTATATTATATATTACCTTAAATTTTTCGATTTAAAAATTTTTTCAATTAAAAAAAAATTTTTGGAAAAAAGACGATAAAATTTTTTTTTTGGGGTATTTTTAAAAATCCTCTCGTCATTTTTGAGAGATTAATGTGTTAAATAAGCCTACCAAATTTTATCCAAATCCATTAAAACCTGTTAAAGATATCGTGTTCACAAAAACGATCCACACACACAAAAAAAAACACACACACACACACACACACACATACATACATCCGGACAATTGATCAGGATCTCATATAACATGTTTCTATATAGAGGAAAATTTGTTTTCACCATTTTTAAAAAGTTTATAAACGAAAGGACTACATAGCTTCCTCCACGAGGAAGCAAAAAGAAAATATCTTTACAATTGTAAAAAAAAATTATTTTGGATAAACTGACGTACGTTTAAAAAATAATAATAATTGTTTATTAATTTGATAGTTAAAGGTAACAAGAATTTAATAACCGTTAAACTACGGTAAATTTAAAAAGAGAACAATTCACCTGCTTTCTCTAAAATTTGTATCATCTGACATTTTGATAAAAATTTATTATAACTGTCAAATTAGATATTAACCGAGAAATCGTTCGATAACATTAAAAAAACAAACTATGTGCGATTCATATCGAACAAAAGAATGCACGATTTACTCGTTTCAAAATTTGTGTTGGTAACTGAAGATATCGCTCGAAAAAGTTGAAAATATCGTATCGAAGTGAAACACTAAGCAAATCTGATCAAATTTTTATATTTTTGGGCGCCATTTTGGATCCACAATTTGATTTTTCAAAAGCTAACTTCAAATTCGTAACTTTGAAGGGAATTTTTCATTTATCTTTAAAAATAATGTAAAAATTTCTTCGTTTTACAATTTTTTTATAAACCTGTGTATATACCTGTTAATATTCTGAAAGTCCCAGATAGAACCCTTTTAAACATATTCCATACTTTTCTGTAAAACCCGTATGGAAACCTTATACAAAATCCCGTAAAAACCAAATACAAACAAGATAGAAATAATGTAAAGTACCACATATAACTTTAATAGAATTCAGATATAAATTCTTTTAGAATTTCTAAAATATTGGTAATAGGTCTTATAAAATATTTACCATCATATAACCTATACAATTTTACAATTAAATAAATAAAAATACAATTAAAACCACTTAAACAATATCATAATAAAAATTTCATATTTTGGCCCTAATGCTTATACAAAAAAATGTAATAATAAAAATCTCACCCTTCAATGAATGCACTTATGGTCGTTAATAAGCTCACATGTAATCTTGGTAACATGGAAAATAAAATCGTTCTTACAGATGTTTCTGTCTTTAAATTTAATGGAGTAATAGCCAAACCCCTACACAATATGTGCAAAATATCTGTAGGAGAAACACAATTCTTCTCTCCGCAACCACTGAAAAAAATTATTTAATCCTTAATAAATACTCGAGTACATAAACTTAAGCGACAACGCCATTTTAGAAAACCATATGTGACCTGGACAGTTAAAAGGGACCTTTTGTCCGAAAAAATCGATTTTTTATTGATTGGTGATTCTGATAGAGAAAACTTTTTTCTATCAGAATCACCAATCAATAAAAAATTAATTTTTTCGGACAAAAGGTCCCTTTTAACTGTCCAGGTCACATATGTTTTTGTAAATTTTTTTTTAAAAACAATAAATGGGCATAACAATTTGTTCATTTCATGGCATTGCCGGTCAATGTCTAAAAATATTCATATCATTTAACTTTTCCGGGTCAAACTTGGGCAATGTTGAAAATGCTATATGTAATAGCTTCATTTTCCATGAAATAAACAAAATTAATCACCCAATAACGCAAACAAACTTTCGATAATTAATTACTCTATAGTGTAAAGACAAATAATTTCGATTAGTTTAAAACTAACTTTCGTTAATTATCGTTGCGAATTTTATATCAGGCATAATGGAAATTTCAAATGATAAAACCAGGTTCAATGAAATTTTAAACGATTTAATACCTAAAAAACAAAACGACAATAGTGGATTTTTCCCCCTTAAGAAGCTTGTAACGAAGCATTCGTTAGTTGGGTTTTCGTCTTGCTTTTCTATGTGGCAGTCAAATTCAGTTGCTTTCGCGAAATCTATCGTAGAACTGATGTACGCAGGCGTGACGTACGAACGTTCACGGGGGGCGGCGAATAGGGCCGATTAGTTATTTCGTAGGCCAGGGTTGTCCATAGGAGCGAGAGAGACGGAATCATAGGGATGATCCAAGGACCGGCAGGGGGATCTACCAGGCAGTTCAATTAACCGATCGTTAGAGAGCGGACGTGCTCTAATTCTCAATCGTATTTTTATATATCTTTTATTATATCTTTGCTGTAGTTTAGTGTTAAATAAATAGTTTCTTTATATTAAATTTGGGAGTGTTTTGTATTATTAAGTGTTTTCTCCTTTGCGAATTCTTCCTGCAACTCGAGAAGCGGCGTCGGTTAGAGTCAGCTGAGCGTCCTCGAGGTAAGTGTAGTTATTGTTGGCCTGCCTCAACGTCCGGCATCAGATGTTCATATGTTTTGGAGGATCCCCTTGTGAGATTGTTCGTATAATGTGTATTTTGAATTGGCGGGTTTAGATGCCCAATTTATGTTAATTATAAATTATAAAACCCCGTTACAATTTTGGCGCCCAACGTGGGGCGACGCCAAGACATTGAGGCAGAGGAAAATTTTTTTTTATATGTGTAATTAAAACTATTTATTTGGAGGTATATATTGATTTGTGATTTTTTATTTTATTGATTGAATTTTTTTGTGTATTTCGTGTGGCCGTGTATATTGGGAATATACATCGGGAAATTGAACTCAGTGTGTAAAACTAATTTATTCGCCATGTGCTCGGACGTGACGTCACATTGAGCGAAATTGGCGGTATCAGGAATTACGTCATCGGAACGAAAAATCGCGCGCAAGTGTTTGTGGCCTTTTCGGTTCTGGTAAAACCTGAAATTAGTTAAATTAATCAAGAAAATTAGTATTGATTAGTGTTGTGTTTGTCGAGATTAATTTTATAGGAATTTTTTTTTCTCTCTCGGAAAATTCCCAATTTATCGAAAATTTTTAATTAGTAGATTAAATAATTTTTTTTCTCGGCGTGTGTGGAAGTGACGTCATTCGCGTTAATAGTATCGTGAGAAATCTTTTCCGCGGGAAATAAGATTTTAGACGCCATTTCCAAAATTTTGTGTGAGTGGTGAAAAATTCTTGCGAAGAAGAATTTAAATTTTTTTTTACGACTTGTCGTGGACAAGTAAAAGAATTTTAAATTATTGAACATTTTATCAATTTTTAAACTGTGGCTTGCTTATTCGCAAGGTTAGCAAATTTTTTTTAATTGTGTTTGTTCATTATTTATTTTTTTTGAATGTTGAAAAATTTTTTTTTTTTTCTCTTTTTTGTAGAGGCTCGCGTGGTGTGTATTTTAAATTCTTTTTCTTTGGTGGCTGCATATCAATGCAGGTTGTAGATAAATTAATATAAGATAAAAAAATTTTTTATTTAATTTTTTATTGTGTGTTGTACGGTACTATTTTATTATCGGCGTATTTTTGTCCATTTTAAAGAGGGCGCTAGCTACAAACTAGTTAGCAAAAATTTCTTTTAAACTAACGTGTCAATAAATTTTTTTGTGTGTGTATTGGCAGTTACTATTGTCCTTTCTTAATTTTGTGGCACCATTTTGGGTGGAAAAATTTTGAAAAATAAGCCAATTGAATTCGAAACTTTTTTTTTTTTTTTTTTTTTTTTGGGAATTTGAAATTTATTAATTATTTCAACATGAGTAGGGAGTCCGACGTTTTTAAACGACAAATGGAGGCGGTTCTGAAAGATCCGAAGGCCCGAAAAATTTGGGAACAGGTCAAACAAATGACAATTGAAGATGTCGTTTTCGAATTAAACAGTCAAGGATGCTGTATGAACGACTTTTGAGGCTCCGAACAAGAATTGTTTTAGGAGAAACATTGTATGTGCCGTGGGCAGATAAATACGATGCGGCAGATTCATCCAACGTATTCATTTTGGAAGGACTTCCTGGCCCTTTAAGAAAAAGGAGTAGTAGATCGGATTCAGTGGCCAGTGAGCGAGAGGAATCACTGGGGGCAATAGGGGGACAAAGTAGTGGCGCTGATATAGCGGTGACTGAGGAACTCAATAGCACTGACGAAAATGATTCGATTGGATCACAGAGGACACAGATACCCAGGTCCAGTGTTGGCGGAAAAGAAGTGTCAATGACGGGTGATGTCAATGCGGGCGCTAACTTGGCCAGTTTTCCTGAAACTTGGAATATGAATCATATCGCTCAGTGGCTACAAAGGGGGCCTGAAGCACAGACCTTTTTCACCCACAGCCAAAAAACAGCGTTAGGTTGGTGGAAGACGGGTACTCAGGCTGGCGCCGATCAACGGGGTGGCAATCCAGAAGCGGACACACGAAGGGGTCCACTTACCAACGAGTTACCTCAACAAAGATTAGGTGCCATCTCTAAACAGGGAGTAAATCAGTCTACAACTAGTCAAAAGAGTGCAGAGGTGACAATAGACGAAGTGTCGAAAATAGTACAGGACATGAAACGTGTATTAGAGGCCCCAGAATCTAAGGAGTGGGGACGACGGGCTAAGGGTGAGCCCACACCAAAGAGGAAGAGGCCCACAGGACATGAGTCCTGTGGTGAGGATAGCGTCAAGAGCTATCACTCTGAGGGCAAAAAGGACAATTATGCCAAATCTAGGTTGAGCGACAGGCAGTCATGGCAAACATTGTCGTCTTCGGAATCGGAAAGCGATTCGGAGAGTGTCGAAGATAGGCAGGACCGGAACCAGCAATCCAGGGTGGATCAGGGGACGGTCAGACTACTTAAAGACTGGGAGATTAAATTCTCGGGAGGCGAGAAAGAAGACCCAGAAGAATTTATGCAACGATTGGAAGATTGCAAGTATTGCAATGGCCTGAGTGATGGCCAAATTCTCAGGGCAGTCCCAGGAGTTCTGCGGCAGTCGGCCACGAGGTGGTTTAGGGTGGTGAGGGATGAGATTGGCTCATGGAAAACCTTTAAAAAAGTTTTCATGAGAGAGTTTGCTAGGGTATTGGACGATGATGACATTTGGGACGAGCTCAAAGCCAGAACCCAAGCCAAAGGCGAAAAACTCTCGTCATATATCACCAATCTAAAAATGATCGCAGATCACTTTAAGAGGCCCCTATCGGGAGATAAAATGTTAAAAATAGTGTTCAGAGGACTGACACCCGAATATAGGCGGTTCATTGCAAACCAGGAGGTGCAAGACTTGGGTGATTTGGAAAAATACGCGAGGAGATACGAGAAGATTCGTGATCTGGATAAGCGTTATATGCCACCACCCACTAAGGAAAAAATGAGATTTCCATCGGCGGCACCAAGAGGTGGAGCAAAGGCAAGCAAGCTAGATGCGCTGCTTGAGGATTCTCTGTCGGATTCGGGGTCAGACAAGGACAAAAAGCCAGCTAAGAAAAAGTCCAACTCTAGAAAGAAGAAGGTGACCAAGAGGAAGGAAGCTGAGGAAGTCGATGCATTCCAAATGCAAAAAGGGCAGTGGAACTCGGGAGCAAACAAAAACGGGGCAAAACAGTCAGCACGACAGGCACCCGTAGCAGTAGCTCCAAAGAGGTTTTCGGGACAAAGAGTACCCGAACCATCGAGGCCGGTCAGTGGTACTGTACCGGAACCACGGCCATTTTTAGGCACCTGCAACATGTGTCAGGTGGTGGGACATAGGGCGTCCCAATGTCCAACGAGGGTCTGTTTCAAGTGCAGAGTTCAGGGACATTTTGCTTCGGAATGCCCGAATAAACAATCGGAATCTCTTGGTGGCCAGTGTCAGGTCTGTGGGACCAAAGGCACTGTGTTTAAAAATTGTCCAACTTGTGCCCCATTGCGAGCAATGTGGGGAAACGAGTTTGGGGGGGGACCGACAAACCCTCCCCCCCAACCTTAGGCTCAGTCACCACAAGTGAAGAGGTGTTCCTGAGAGTGCAAGAGAAGGTGTACTCTGATGAGAGTGGGGAGGACCCACTCAAGCTTCAACAGGAACAGAGTGAAGAGCGGAGGGGTGAGTGTTCACCCAGAGTGAAATTATTGGGTCAAACTCAAATTGAGCAGAGGAGGAGTGAGGAGGACTCACTCAAGGCTCAAAATGAGAGGAGTTTATTAGAGAGAGTTGGTGAGTGTTCACCAAGGAAGTGGCCTTCGAGGCAAACTCAATTTGAGCAGATGACGAGTGAGGAGGACTCACTCAAGGCTCAAAATAGAGGGATGAAGTGTTGGGGTGAGAGTTCACCCAGCGAAATGACCGTGGGTCATTCGCAAAATGAGTCGCTGGCGAGTGAGGAGTA